CTCAGAAGTTCACACCCTGCCGTAGAGTCTATAAGTCTGTCTATGAGAGGAAGAGGAAAGCTATCATTCGGGCATCCTTTGTTTAGGTCGGTGTAATCGACACACATTCTCCACAAGACCTTTTGGAGCAGGAGACTTTCTTTGGTCGGATTCTTCTTAACAAGGACAACATTTGCTACCCACGTTGGATAATTGACTTCGCGGACGAAGCCTATGCCTTTGAGTTTTTCAACTTCTGCCTTCATTGCCTCGTACCGTTCAGCATCATAAGATCTTCGCTTCTGTCTCACTGGCTTGGTCTTGGGGTCAATACTTAAGTGATGACAGATGATATCGGGAGAGATGCCTAGCATGTCCTCGTATGACCAGGCGAAGACCTCAGTGTTCTCTTGCAAAAAAGAGATCAATGCCAACCGAATGGGTGGTGACAAGGTGGTGCCAATCTTCACCATGCGATCCGGATAATCTTTTGAGATAGAGACCTTCTCCAACTCTTCAGTGGGTTGTGCTTGTTGGGTGTAAGAGTCATCTCGAGGATCGTCAGGTTGACTGTTGCCACCGTGAAGATCCAAGTTGGCTTCGTCTAGGCTAGTCTTTATGACTTGGTCATGTATAGAAAGGGTTTTCTTGGGCACATGCAGGTGTTGTTGCTTGACCGAAGTGTTGTAACATGATCGTGCACTAAGTTGATCTCATCTGAAGTAACCATTGCCATAGGGGGTTGGAAATTTCATCAACAACATATGTGTGGATACCATGGCCTTGAGATCATTAATGCCTATGCGTCCGAATATGACATTGTATGTCGTTGGGCAATCAACCACCAGGAAGTTAGTGGTAATGGTAGCTGTGTAAGGGCATGTACCAATGGTGAAAGGTAAGTGTATGCTCCCCAAAGGTTGCACGATATCACCGGAGAAGCTTATCAGAGGGGAAATTGAGCGATCGAGCAAGTGTTCAGCTACATTAAGTGCCCTGAAAGCTTCAACAAACATGATATTGACCGAAACCCCCGTGTCTACCAGGATTCGTTGTACTTCAAAGTTGGCTATGTGAGCTTCCACGATTAGTGGGTCGTTGTGAGGGTAGATGATACCTCTTTCTTCCTCAGGGTAGAAACATATTGGATCCCAGTTAGGCTTTTGATGCTTACCTCCCCTAATGTCTTCCACGTGAATCACTTGGTGGCCAGACCTTAAAGCTGGTTCGCTATTTTTCATGGCCCTGTTGGAAGATTTAGATATGGGTATGCCATCACTTATGGAATATATCACATTCACATGGCGTTGGTTACGGTTACCCCTTGGAGGGTGAAGGAGGAATTGATCAATTTTTCCTTCACGTGCCAAGGCTTTAATATGATCACGAATGGTGATACACTTCTCGCCGTCATGGCCGTTATGCTCGTGGTAGCAGCAAAACGTGCCCGTGTTCTTCGTGGGCTTGTAATCCGGGTACCTTGGCTTTGGTTTCGATATCAGGTGTGCTATCATGGGGTAAATGGCCACGCATGTGGCGTTCAAAGGTATGTGCCTCATACCTTGGGGTAGGGCTGTCCTGACACATGTTTGACCTACTGTGTTGACTGCCTAAGGTCGAGAATTATCATGGCGATACCCTTGGTTATCGCAGTAGTGTCCCTTACTCATTTTACTAAAATGAGACTGGTGAGGATGAAAATCTTTCCTTTTGCCCTGAGATTGATATGTCTGTTGACTTGGCAAAGTATTAAGTAAGGCAGGGGGAGGCACCGCTGCCGTTTGGAAGGTCGAGGTATTCTCATTTGGTTGGATCTGGCTTCCACTCCCTACTTGCTGATAAGGGGTGGCTGTGAGGGGTTTCCCTTGATATGTCCTTGCCTCGGCGGAGGCATGGTTGTAAGCTTGTGCCATCACTTCAGAGTAAGTCTTCCAAGTGTTGGCATTGATCATGTACTTGAAGAAACAATCACATAGGCCTGCCGTGAAGGCCTTGAGGGCAGTCTTGTCATCTGCCTCAGCGCAGCGAGAATACTTATGGCTGAAATGACCGACATACTCTCGTAGTGACTCGTCTGGCTTCTGGCGAATAATGTACAAGTCATCTGCAGAATGCAAGCGATTGGTTTGGAAGATGTGTTGAGAGACAAACAGTTTCCTCAGTTCCTCAAATGAGTATACTGTCTGAGGTGGAAGATGGCAATACCAGTTTAGAGCTCCGCCAAAGAGGGTGGAGGGGAAGAGAAGACATCGCTATTCGTCGGTATGTATTCGATATGCTATGGTGGACTCAAAGAGGTTAAGGTGTTCAATTGGGTCATCCCTTCCAGTATAGAGTTGTAAACCAAGCTTTTGTTTTGTCTTCGCTTGAAGGGGTGTGTCAAAGATCCTCATTGTGAGAGGGCTAGGCCTGGGTTTGTTCTAGTCAGGTATCTCGACCTGACGTTCGGCCTTCAACTTGTTTACTTCCTCAATGAGTTATAGGACAAGGGGGTCTTGAGTGAAGTCATGTACCATTGGGATTGTCTTTCGTAAGTCTCCATCGCCTCTTGGAAGTAGGAAAGTTGGAGCAAGGGCGTGTGATTTTTCTTTGGACTCGCCGTACTGACTTCTAGGGCGAGTCTGTCGGAATACATCATAGTTCTCTGTACCTTCATGTTCTTCTAGGACATGTCGTTCCTTCCCTAGATTGGCAGCTGGCCTGGGTCGTGGGAGGGGACCGAGTCTTTCAGAAACCATTGGGTCATTGATCTTCGAGCATATGTGGAGGGGATTCTCTCGACGTTGCTTTATGAAGTCTCGGCAGTCACGATAAACGGCTTTCGATCCTTCCAACCCTTTTGCAAGGAGGTGTCTTCCTCCATTTCTCATGCTTTGGGTCGAAGTAGCTGGGTTGAGAGAAGTCTCATGTTGATCAATGTTTGATGATTAGCTCGCTTCTCATCAGGGATACCCATGTCGAAAGAAGGTGACCCTCCGTGTTAGGGGGCACCCAGATGATGGTTGATGTCCATAGGGGCAACAAGCTCGCGCGTTTGAGTATGCATAGTTTCGTGGAGCGTCTCAAAGAGCTTCTCATACTGCTCCTGGAGGACCTCATTTTTCATTGCTATTTTGTTATTTTGAGCTTCTAGCTCATCGACTTTAGCTTGAAGAGCAACCCTCTTTCCTTCCTTCTTTCGTTGCTTCGCACTAGGTGCAAGAGGGTTGTCATTCTGTGTGTTGTGGCTTCCTTCGCTCCCCATGTTAGAGAGGGATGCCTGGTCAAAAAAGAGTGTACGAATGGTGGAAACCAGCTTGACAAAGCTGAATAGAATGGGAATAAGTGTCGTTCCCACAGACGGCGCCAAATGTTGATGCACAAAATCAGTGAGGACTTTGGTACAACAGAAAGTGTTAAGTTTGTGACCTTCGCTAGATTGCTCCGGTCACTAGTGTGAATAAGTATGTAAATGGATAGGGACAGGGAAAGCAAACATAAGATAATTGGTTCACGAGTAGTTCTCATTAATTGTGAAGGGTTTAGTACAGGGTTCAAGCTCTCATTTAGTGAGTACTAGTGAATGATTTAGTACAAATGACATTAGGAATTGTGAGAGAATGATCTCTATGAAGAGAGAGTTTCTAATTTCATTATGACATTGACACGTGTCGTGTTGTGATTGGATATTGAGTTCGCGCATTGAGTTTGTGCTGTGATTGTTCCTGGTTGGAAAACTCTTCTGGATCCTTAGTATAACGTTGACCGGTGCTCAGTAGTTTCGGGATTGGTCAAGTATGGTACAAACAAGATTCATGTTGAAGTTGTTTACTAAAACTGCTGGATGGGAGTAAGAATTGATTTGAGGTCCATTAAGTTGTTTACTAATTCACTTCAATAGGAGTGAAAGCTAGGTTGATTACTATATTGCCCTTACATAAATAAATTATTTTCATACTAATTAATTAAATTAAATTCTTAATTAATATATAATAAAACTCATCTATATAAACATATATAAATACGTTTTATTTATTTATTAAAAGATGGCAAGAATGATGTTGAGTCCATATAAGTTATTTGCTAATTCACTTCAATCGAAATGAAAATTAGGTTGATTACTAAATTACCCTTACATAAATAAATTATTTTCATACTAATTAATTAAATTAAAATTTTAATTAAATTTATATAATAAAATTATCTATATAAAAATATATAAATAGGGTTTATTTATTTATTAAAAGATGGCATAATGAGTGTCAAATGAAGGGCAATGTTGGGATAATAAGAAACAAGTAAGGGCATAATAGGAATAAAAGATGCATTCCCGATTCCCTTATCCTTCGGGAATTCAAATACCTCACAAAACTAGGGAATCTCGTTCCTCCAATTTCAGGAATTGGATTCCTTGTTTCGTGTGGGCTCCACCACTTTTTTGATTCCTTAATATTTAGTAAACACCAGAATACTCCGTAATCGGAATTCAATTCCCTTTCTTTATTCCGATTACCCTTACGTAAATGTGTAGGGTATTGGAAGAAAAAAAGGGCAATTTTAAGGGACATAGGGAGACATTCTGAACGTGATCGCCATTTTTATGACCCCAATGACTTTTGTGAAGAACGCGATAGTGATGATAATGAAAAACACCAGAATTATCAAGCTAAAGGATCACATGAAATAAAAGCATTAAGGAGTAGCATAGCCGGAAGTTTGATGAATACGACTACTTTTGTATTAAACAACTTTTGAATTGTTATTCTATTTGAAGTATGTATCAGTTGGTTGATGATATTTCAAGTGCAACAACAATGTTGTGCTACAGAGTCCTAGATATTTAGTTTGAAATATTCCAATATTTTGAGTAATTTGTCGTACTAATTAGTATTTGAGATGAGTTTAAATAAAATATAAATATTTTTTAAATATATAGTTGACCATTATTTGCCAAATAAATTAATACACATCTAATATTATGTCATTTTACCAAATTACCGTTGTTTTATATAAAAGTTTATTAAACACTAACAATATTTTTCTTTTTGCTAGAAGCACTTTTACAATTATAGTTTATCAAACACATTACTTATTTATTTTACAGAGCATAACATAAACATTTTTTTTTTCAAAACATAACAATACCAAACTAGGCCAACTAGCCCACCGGCTTCAGAACATACATTTTACATGCATGAGAGTCCAGCGTGGTTGTCAAGTTTCCAACAAATCGTGCCTTCAATGTCTTGTGCTGCAAGACAGCGAGCAAGATATCAGTAAGTATCTCTCACAAATTACAATACAGCTAAATACAAAAAGTAGCAAGAACTGAGAAAGAACAGATGATTGATTATACAAGGATTATTATACCTCCCAGAGGTTTCTTGCTTCAACAACACTGTTTGTGGGGATCCCAATGTCGTCCCAGTGAGCTGTGAACGAATCTCGCTTACGGCTTCGGTTGACAAGGAGTAAAGCTACTCTGTATCCTGAGAGGGGCCCTGCCCAAACCTGTTCGTTCAAATTTCAGAGTTACACTTGACAGAATTCCTTCGTATACGTATCACAAGAGATTTGCTGGCATTTTCATTTTTACCTCACGATTCCCTTGTAATCTGACCTTTTTAGCTTGAACACCGAGTGGATCTGCTACGATTAACCATCACAAAAATCACAATTCCAAGTTGTATTAGTGCAAACTTGATCGTTCAGTCATTAGGAAGGAAAGTTGGTGTGCGTCTAAAGCTTGTAGTTACCTTGGTTTACGGAGATAACCTCTTTATTTGCAATGATATCCATGGTCTCTTTCGTGATATTCCCCACGTTGCAACCGAGAAGAAGGGGAGCCTGCAGCACAGTTCATGTGTAGTGTAACCAAACAGATGACCTAAAATTGCAGATTTCATATAAAGAAGAGCATCTAGCAAATTAATAACGTTTATCGTACCTTAGAAATGGCCCATATGCTAAAATGGACTATATATTCATCTTTTCTCATTCCTCCATTCCCCACTTCTAACATGTCGGGATCTGTTCAAATTTTCAGCAGATAAATAAGATTAATCTCTTAGTGAAACATCAACACTCGAAATGAATTTACATGTAAAACCCTTCCATTAGCCGAAATGAATATTCACCATTCCAGCCACCAGGTCTGGCAAATTCAGCATAAACTTCATTCATGTCTGCTCTAGAGACCATACTGCCAAGCAAAATGCCAGAAAAAGGTATTATGTGAGACCCCAAAAACATGAGACCAAGTTGAGAGTTAACGGAAGAACTTTCTACCTTTCCCATGTATCAGAAATGTCACTAGTAGTTCTCCAGCTATTTCCTACATTAGCACCCCATGTAGCAGGGTGCATATCTCCCCTAAAAGACGAAATAGAACAAAAAATTTTAAAAATTAGGCCTATTACTAAGAAAAACAAAGTACAAGGTTTTTTTTAGTTTAAGCAAACACGACCATTACCATTCACAAAGCGAATAGAATATGGGACGACCTGCTTTCATCAGAGCTCGGGTCATTACAGGGAACCTAAAAGAAGAGATGAAATATTTATAGAAAAGTGATCCTTTGGAGACCTTACCCCGGGAAAATTAAGTGCAGGCAGGAAACCACTTTATGCCGTAACATCATAGATATTAGAAGTATTTTACCTAACAGTTGGCTTGGATTCATCGTTATAACAGTTATCATACTTCAAGTAATCAATTCCCTGCAAAGAAAGTGCATGAGCATTTCAAGACTCTGTGACAACATATCATCAATAGAGATGTTATGACCCCTTTTGATTGAGTTACAACATATATATCGAACCCAAGCAGCAAATGTTTTGGCATCTTGTTCTTCGTGGCCAAGTGAACCAGGCATGGTTTTGCTGCAAGTGAAGTACCTGCAGAGTACAAGTGAAAGTACAATTTGTTTAGTTGTAATTTAAGTATATATCGACATTCAAGAGCAACTATACATAATACATGCCGCATATATTTGTACTGGGATGGAGCGTACGAGAGTTAGTCGTGTTATCCTGCAATGTTTTGGCATCTTGTTCTTCGTGGCCAAGTGAACCAGGCATGGTTTTGCTGCAAGTGAAGTACCTGCAGAGTACAAGTGAAAGTACAATTTGTTTAGTTGTAATTTAAGTATATATCGACATTCAAGAGCAACTATACATAATACATGCCGCATATATTTGTACTGGGATGGAGCGTACGAGAGTTAGTCGTGTTATCCTGCATCTGCGTAAATTCCTAGCTTAAGACCCTTGCTGTGAACATAATCCGCAAGAGCTTTAATGCCTGATGGAAATGTTGATTTATTTGGCGCTAGATTGCCCTGCGTATGAAATCTCATGCATGTTCAGTACTTTTACAGCCGAGCTTGTTTGTGATTAAAAATAGAAACAAATACCTATTGTAAAAGATGAAGGATTGATACAGAGGAAGAGGAAGAAGATAGAGAGAAACAAGAGAGATTCTAGAGTGAGAGAGTTTAGAGAGAGAAATAGGATTTGTATTAACTGAGCAAATGAAGATTACACATACTGTTTATATAGAAATCCTAACTACTCTAACCAAATACTAACTACCTAACTATATTACTAACTATATTACATTTTTACCCTTAATACTCCCCCTCAATCTCAACTGGGGAAACTCAGTTTGAGATTGGAAGAATTGAGACATGGTAGCACTGAAACTGTAGATTTAGGAAAACCACCATTGGATTGATACCCAAACATCTGTCCACATGTAGCATTTTGACTAGAGTCAACACTTTGGATTAGCCTGCGCGCACACAGGTTTTTGAAATAACGATCTTTCTGCCATTGATCAACATCACCATCTGACAAAAGGCAACTATTCAAACATCATCACAGTGAATACTACCTTCAAAACCACTTCAACAGCAAGTCATGTAGAAAACATGACACTGAATCAAACCATACAACTTGAAGCAGATGTACGGCCATACGACAGAGAGTAAGCGCGTATACTAAAACCATATCACCAAAGCTTATAGCTTTCCCAGAGCACTGAATCAAACAAGTGTACCCCATGACCTCTTTGAAGCTGTTGACTAAAAATCTCTGTCTGTCTGTCCAAATTTCTTCCACTGCCTTACAAATAAAGACACCTGTATGCCGCTGCCTCTATCAGGAGTTGTACACAAGAACAACCTTCTATAAAGTAGTTGTAGCACACCCTCATGCCGGTATAACATTTCTTACGGGATTACCCTTCGTGGGATTCGCCGTCAACAATCTCATTCAACTTGGCTTCGGCCTTTAATATTTACAAAAACAGAAAATTAACAAACTATAGTGTGGCATCGGCCTTAACTATAGCACCACGGGATCGCCCTTTGTGGATTTTACCAAAAAAAACAACTTCTTTGAACAATGGCATCGGCCTTCACAATTTCAACAATTGAAATCAACATCTATGTAGTATTACCCTTCGTGGGATTTACCTACTCAAACCACGGGATTACCCTTCGTGGGATTTACCGTTAACAACTTCTTCAAACTTTAACGTATAACCGGACTTACTGTAGATTCATGCTAACAACTGAGTTGGTTAGACTCTGAAATGACAGGCTGTGATTAGAAATATAATGCACAACTCCTCAGTTAGCACCTGAACACTCACTCCAGTAACCTTTGCCGAATCTAATAAACAGGCATTGCTGCTTGCTTTGTTGCTTTGCCCTGGCACACTGATCTGCCAAGATTCACTGAAATTGGACTGCCAGTTCCCCTTATTCTCCATTTTATACTGCTAAGATTGGGTGAAACGATAGATACATCACCATTAGTCGAGTTGCTGACAGACTGACCAAGTAACAGGGGTTCAGAACCATTTGTTTGGTAATATATAGCCAGTACTTTCATCCTCTACACGGGCAACAACATCCTCCACTCACAAAAACCAGAAACAATGCTAACAAACTCATCTTCAAGACCCAAGATACTTGATACACAAAATAAACTGCAAACAGAACCCATCTTCAAAACCCATCGCACCAAGCCACAAATCACTACAATTCACCTTATTGAATACCCAAAGAAGACTCAAACTGACCACGACAATCAATAGTCTTGAATCCAAATATCCCAAATATTACACTAATATCCCAGAAGAGATTCAAAGATGAACAAAATAGTGAACATTTTCTTACTGAAACATTTAATCATACAGATTATGTGTACTGTGAAAACCCAGAAATCAAGAACCTGATAAGAACTTCAATCTTGACCCAAGAATGCTGAGAGAGAACCTAATAAGCTCCTCCGGCGGAGCATGCTGTCCGTATCGTCGAAGGAGAAGAAGGCGTGTACGGAGGACCAGGAGCAAAACCCACTTGACTGGTACATTGTTCTTCAAATATCCCGACCCAGACTGTAGGACAACAGTTCCATCAGCAAGGCTCACAGCCTTGTCCATCTCTTTCACCACTGCATACTTCCTCGCCTTCTCACTTACCAGAAGCCCGTAATCATCATGTCCCTCACTCTTGGACAGTTTCCATACCCCTTGGTACTCATCTTTCGAAGAAACATCCATCGGCCTTCAAACGACTCAGAAAATGGCTCGTAAAAGATCGAATCGACTTCGTATTCTGAAGAAGTGTGGATCTGGGAAGCAGAGCTTTCAAATCAGCTGTTCCAGTGTGTAGGCAAAATCGAAGGCACGCTTAGGGTTAAGGCGCGACGGTCCTCATGGCAGAAACATCAGCCCATATGGGATTGGAATCGGTGAAGCCGCCATTTCTCCGAAGTCGAACAAGCCAAGAACTTTGCCTCGGTTCTCCAACTTTTGATCTCTCGCTTTCAATCGGGCACAAGGAGACTCATGAATTTGATCGGAAAGAAATCAACCCAAAAACAAATCAACCTAAAAGAATGATCACGGAAGCACCCAGAAGCTTATCCTAACACCTAATGAAAATTTGGAAAAGAAACTAAGCTGGAAACATATGTAAAATAATGAGAAGTAGAACCACCAGAATCCATGGCGTGAGCCTGGTGGCTCTGATACCATGTTAACTACATTGTAAAAGATGAAGGATTGATACAGAGGAAGAGGAAGAAGATAGAGAGAAACAAGAGAGATTCTAGAGTGAGAGAGTTTAGAGAGAGAAATAGGATTTGTATTAACTGAGCAAATGAAGATTACACATACTGTTTATATAGAAATCCTAACTACTCTAACCAAATACTAACTACCTAACTATATTACTAACTATATTACATTTTTACCCTTAATAGTGGTCACGAGAAATTTCGGCCCAGCAATCATCTATAGATACAAATAGCATCAGGTTTTATTAAAATTGGGTACAAAGCTACCGGAAAAACAGAAACGACAGAAAAGAAAAGAAGAAGAATACCTATGTTAACATAGGTATATCCAAGTTTAGAGAGACCGGTGGAAACCAGTGCATCGGCTGTCAAACCAACCAGAGAAATTAAGCAAGCTTTGGAAACAAAACATGGCTTCGATGATTAGGGATAAGTTAAGTTGCTCGAGTTACCGGTTGCCTTGATGACTTTCTCATCGATTTTGCAGTGGAAGTGATTCCAACTGTTCCACCTAATTTAGCAAAAAAGAAAATAAGGAGCTGACTAATCATTTAATCTTAATCGCACAAGCTGGCAAGTAAAAGGGTGAATTAGGGTATATTTTGAGGTCTTATGCGAACTTAACAAAAAGATCCTTCTTATTAAAAAAAAAAAAAAAAAAATTTTGACAATATATTCATACAAAGCTCAACAATCAATATTCAAACCTAATTGAAATCAGCATCTCACTATAACTAATTGAATAATCTTTAATTGCAATGAAATCATGATTTATGGTTCATCCATGAAAAAATAAAGCACGATTGAAAAAGATATACGAAAATACGCTTGTATTTATGGAAGAAAGTAGTACACAAGTTAATTTTTTATTACTAAAGAAAAGTAGAAGAGAGTAATAGACAAGTTTTTTTTTATTGATAGAGAAAAGAGGAAGTTAACATATTAAGTATAAGCTCCACTTAATCAATTATAATATAGATAAAATCATATGATGTTTTTTTTTTCAGTTAAAAACATTTTTATTAGAAAATTTATTCATATGTAATATATAGGCAGAACAAAAATTTTGGGGCTCTTTTGAATTTGGTGCCTTGTGTCACTGTACCTTTTGCACACTCCCAACGCCATCTCTGTCCCAAACCAATAAAGTTTGCTTTGTGAGGATCAGGGAACGACTATCATATATTTGAATAAAATTGCATTTGTGGGTTGCGGCACGTGTTCATATGTATAATATTAGGAATTTAAACGCAAACAGTCTCATGTTATAATATCGTAGATTCATGCATACTCCAAGCGTGTAAAAACAGCAGAAGAAAAATAAATGGCTTCCCATTTCAAAAGTTTGCTGAAATGTATATATTTTAGAATCTGATCTGACTGGCTGTGGCTGACCATCGATCAAAGGAGGCAAAAAATATGAACTGTATGTAGTTGTAAAAAAGTAAATTTCTACCCCATGGGAGGAGTGAGTCCAAGTCCGTTGGCAAGCAGATTTCGTCTGAGTTGCGAAGAAGCTGCTGCAGCTGAAGCTGAAGAAGCAGAGGACACACCCATTGCCATTATCAACAACATCACAATCAGCGTCACTAGTGCAGCATTATCACGATCACCACCATCCTTCTCCATATCGGCTCTCACTCCTCTGCTGTTGATTTACTTGACCAGACTCCTTTGCTACTTATACTACTCTCTACTCTCTCTCTCTCTCTCGCTCTCGTCTTAAGCTAACATGTAAACTAGTTGTTTTTTACAAAGACTAGAGGCTAGTAAAGATGTGTGGCTATTATGCAAAGCCCAACTTGGCGGGCAGTAGAAAAGTCCACAAAATCATGACTAATATATGTGTGGTGTTGTGTAACCAAGTAAGGAATGAGTGGGAATCTGCTCTAAAGTTTGCCAATAGAAGCTTGAGAGAGTCTTAGACTTAAAAAATGACTCTTTTCTTTGAGAGTTGCTGTGTTGTAATATTTTGTGAGTGTAATATAAATAATTTGTTTACTTGTTTTGTCTTCAACAATCGCATATTAGAGTTGTGTACTTTAATATATGATTAATTTGAATTAAACTTGATTTTTTATTTCTTATCGATAATTGCAAAGAAGAAAATGATAAAAATTTCGAGTCTTAAATGAAATGGGCAAACTAGAATCAGTCGTATTCTATGAGATATGATAGTATGGAAGAAAGATTCAAATATTTCTTTATACCATACTAACTAGTATTGTTGTTGTAGTGTATAAAGTTGTATTGTAATGCGGGTTAATTTAATATAGATTAATATAGATCAATCTACAATAGTATCATCATATTCCTTATATATATATATATATATATAGAAATCGATTTAATTACATATATATAATATATATAGTGATAATATATATTTACATAGTATCCCAATTCTATTTTACCAAACTATGCCTTACGTAAAAGTTGTCAAAGTACGCTTAATCTCTGGATTTGAAATCACTGCTTATATACCTGGTATTGGCCATAATTTACAAGAACATTCTGTAGTCTCAGTAAGAGGGGAAAGGGTTAAGGATTTACCTTGTGTGAGATATCACAATGTTAGGGAACCCTAGATGCTGTCGGAGTAAAGGATCGTCAAAAAAGGCGTTCTAGTGCGTTGTAGATTATAATCCAAGACTTGTATCATTTGATGATGCCATGTGAATTGCTAGAAACATGTAAATAAAAGGTCTACTACTTTAATTCATGTTTCAAAAATATATTAATTTTGTATCTAACTGTATAAAGGTAGGCGCATATGTATGAATAGGAGATGTTGTGCGAGTATCAATCCATCTGTATAGATATCATCATCTACATTTTAGAAAGTCGTATGATTTGGAAGAAGCTTGTACAGTATGGGGAAGGGGTTTTGATTGATCAAAAAGAAGAATCTACTTCAATCAATATGCCCTTAGGTATGGCCATGCATAACATAGAAATCGCACTTGGAAAAGATGGATAATTAGCTAGAGAACAGGTGCTGTAACGAAACTAATTGCAAAAGAGGGGAAATCGGCCACATTAAAACTACCTTCTGGGGAGGTGCGTTTGATATCCAAAAATTGCTCAGCAACAGTCAGACAAGTGGGGAATGTCAGGGTGAACCAGAAAAGTTTGGGTAAAGCCGGATCTAAATGTTGGCTATAGAGTGGTTCAACCAAGGGCCGACTTTTATGAAGCTTATAAGAATCGTGAGGAGTTTAGTACTTTGCAAGATTGTTGATTAATCTTGTTCGGCATACAGGAATTCTACCATCACGATGAGTGACCTTCAAGTAGTTTAAGGAATTAAGAAGCCCAACAACCAAAATTACAACATGTGCATGGAATCTTACCTACAAGGCCAACATCTTTAAGAGGTCATTGGTGGTAATGAAGTTAAGCAGCTTGAAAAAGACACCAATTGCACTTTGAGTAAGTGAAAAATCAAAGTAGGAAAATCAGTCTTCGCCCTGAAGACTACAATTGAAGAAGAATTGTTGGAACACGTAAGAAAAGCAACAACAAAAAAAGAATCATATGACATAAGAGGTGATTCAGTTTCAATCAATTAAGAATGCATGGATTGTCCCTGTGGAGCTAAGGAAGACGATGAGGCATAATGGTGTTATGCATCATACGCTTTGTGTTCGAATTTTGAACAGCAAACAAGTTCCTCAAATATTTCTCTGCAATCAATTTGAAAGGGAAATCATACTTTTGCCTTCTCTATAATATCAACCTCTTCAATTTTGATGTGACTCTAAACTATTGGATTTCTGCTATAATCAATTGGACCATCTGTTGTTATTGTTATTCATTAGGCCCATTACATATGTAATCCAAATCCGAATCAACCTAGAAAAGAAAACCTTAGAAACATTCAAAGAAAAATATGAAAACCCAGAACCTGAATCGAGAAAAAGATGAAAACCCATTACTTGAACCTAGAAAAGATGAAAACCCTAGAAATCCAAATCTGTTTTTCAAATCAATCTCTCCAAATTCATAAATCCAAATCCAAAAACAATCAAATAAACTCAATTTTGACAAACCCTAGAAATCAACCCAGAAAAATAGAAAGAAAAAAAAAACAAAACCTTACAATTTGAATACAAATTTAAATTTGAAAGTAATTCGAAACAAAACCATAGATTTCGAAACAAATACTTTAGTTTTGGGGCTCGAGAGTTGCTTGATCAAGAAGGAGGAGAATCGAAGAGAGAGATATGACGAAGTTGAGAACTCGAGATAGAGGGTATGATGTGGTGGCCAGAGTTGAGACTCAGAGATGATGGGTTGAGGAGAGGCAGAGGCAGAGGAGAGAACAGAGAATTCGGGAGTGATAAGAGAGGTTTCGAGAATGATAAAGGGGCGTGATATCCATACACCCTATTTTACTTCTCACACACCTTTTTAATTTTCGGTCATTGGATCAGATGAATTGAAGAAGATCAACAGACATAAATTATCAAAGGGTGTGTGGATAGCACACCCCAATGACAAAATGTGAGAGACTAAGTGAGAGACTGAAAGCCTAAGTTAGATTGGACGGTTGAGATTAAATCTCACACAACTCGACGGTCCACATAATTCCTAAACCTAATCTAAATTAAATAAATATTAGAAAATATGTTTTAGTTCAGTTCGGGATTCCGAAGCCTGTATCAAACTTTTTGAGATTGGTTCGGTTTTGGGTACCAAACGGTTTAAGATATTTGGTTTGAGATGTTTTCGGTTCGGTTTCGGTAGGAAATCGGTACAGCTCAGGAATTTCGGTATTTTTTTACCCCTAATTTCAACCCATTTTCTAATGTAAGGAGAACTATGAATCAAATGAATGAATTTTAATATCTTTATTTACTTTCCTTGTTTAATTTTCTGCAATTATTATATGTAATTTCTTGCATTTCCCTGTAGTCCAATGTCTGATCCTATCAAATTTGTGGTGATTTAATTTTATGTATGTGTTTAATTTATGTCTATTTATTTGGAGGATGTTCATGTAGTATGCATTGAATAAGATCGAAATGGGTCGATTATAAAAACAAAGATCAGTTGAGTAAATTAAAGTATATGTTAATTGCAGAAGGATTCATCATTTGAGCTGCTTTTTTTTTTTTTCTCAAATAAACGCATTTCATATTCAGTAGGTGTACCAGCAAGACGGACGGGTTACGTGATCCAGATGCCCTTACTAAAGTCTCACTGATTAATTAAATCCATATATGTCGACTACAATTAGTTAAGCTTTTTCTGTTTTGGGCCTTGGGACCCATCACCTACTAAACAAGGACTTCGATCACAAAGACAACGTATGGGGCTCATTCAGTTAGTATTGCGGGCTTCAAATTTTTGGGCCCCTAGCACAAAGACATGGTTACATCTAAAACGACAATCTCATTATTTCCAAGTAGTAAACTCAAGTGTGAATGTTCAACGTAAATTGTGAATCGTCATGGTGAATATAGTTTTTCTTTTCAACTCACTATATTATAGTAAAAGATGTAATTGTTCAACTAATTATGCCTATTGAGTTTCGTTTCTATATATCGACATAATTATTGTATCGAAATAGTGTTTTACGGCTCAAATTACGAGCATATTATAGATTAGAAACTTGTTGATATTATCCTCGGCACCAAATTTATGTTTGTGGTTGGTTGTTGAGGTGTTGCATGCACGCCTAAAAAGGGAAACATTCCCTTCAACTACAAGGATCATCTTCTTTATACCCCATCAACTTTGAAACGGCAACAACTTTTCATTGACTTATATCACTTGGCAAAAATTTAAATAGAAGTATATAGGAGAGCTCGACACCACCAAATTTTTAGCCCTTGTTCTTTTGCTTTTTGTGTTTTAGAGGACCAAAATTTAGCTACTTAGGATTGAAATCATCTCCTTTTTGTTTGAGGTCAAGAAATAATCCCTTTGTGTATGATCAAAACTTGAGTACGAGGACTTGAACTTTGTCCTTTCTGTAACTTAGGGGAAGAGGCAAGCAGACTCATTTGAAAGAATTATTTGTGCAATGAATTACAATATTTGACCTTGACCACCATGATCCTTCTAACTTGCAATCTTTAGACCTCATGCTCAAATACCTTTTCAATTGTGTTTCACAGCTGTGTGAAGTTGTATTAAGCACGTTCTATGCTCTCATGTTAGTAGAGCATCATATTCTTAATGGGTGGTGATGAAGTTGGGGTTTCATCATAAAATCAATTAGCAATATACATTTTTACACGCCCCTCCTGTGTTGTGAATACAATACAAACGGGATGACATAGAGCAAGTGTGGGTGTTCGGCTTCATATGTGGGACAACCTGTTCTGATACCATGAATAAGTTGGAGTTCCACCAGAAAACCACTTGGCAATATGGAAAGTAACTCAATTTATTATAAGCTCTTGCATAATCCGGTCCCTACTTTGACCTCACATTCTCACAAGTAGTAAGAGCATCTCCAATAAAAAGATTTTTTTTTTAAATGAAAATTGCCGTTCGAATTAACATGAAGTAAAACTATCACACATGATCTGCATGTGATGTAAGATGTGAGAATTTATCGTATAGAGAATCAATTAGGTAAAATTATTAGAGAGAGATGTAGGTTTATATTAAAGTACT